ATGCTGATCTCACATCTCCACCCCGCTCCAGGCAGCGTCCTTGCCATCCGAGTCCCTGCTCGATGCCCCCTTGGCCAGTGCCGCCACAACGGACATCACGTCCACATCATCCGCCAGACCGCCTCCCACCACACTGCCCTCATGCAGCCGCGACAAGCACTCGGCCGTGTAGATCACGCCCAGCCTGGCCACCTTGGGGTGTCTGTCGAGTGCTTGCGGGAGGACCGCGCTGAGCAGGGGCACCGGGTCGGCGTTGGCCAGGGCAGCCTCCATGGCCTGGTCGTGGGATGTGGAATGATAAGTGGAAAACGACAGGGAACCAAATATGTTAACGGTGCAGATCTGTCGAAAGTCGACGTGAGCATGCCGTCGTAAGGCGTTGCTCTGTTGATTGCAGCGCAGCAAGATCATCTGGTACAGACATGAGGAAAAACGACTGCAGTGGTGCTTACTCCATGCGAGGTTGAAGGTCTCAGGGCACGATTCCAACCACGCAAGGCCAAATACAGCTGCAACAACGACAGCATCGCTGCTGAAGCAACGTACATCTGCCCCATGCCGGCCCCGTCCGCACCTTCTTCGCCTCTTCCCCGCAGAACGTGGAGGACGACTTGTGGCAGGACAGCGTAGACCTGACCAGCGTTCCCATCTGGTCGGCGGTCATCCCGTTCCCCACCACGCAGCTGGGAACAGGGTATCGTCGCCGATGGAAAAGGGGGAACGCGGGTGGGAAAGGTAACAGCGGCGGGTTCAGCGGTGACGACCGAAGTCAATACGTTGATGCGAAATCAAGGCAGCAGACGAACATCGGACATTGCGAGTACATGGCCGTTGCCTGAGCACGAGATCCTAACCTAGATGAGCCGGGCACACATCCCAAACTCTTCAATTCAACATCACACGCCAACATGACCACATCCAACACGCACCTGAACATCTCGCCCAAGCACCGCAAGCCGTTCGTCTGTACCACCGACCGCCTGTTGGACACAGCGTCTGCCACGAGAGACACCAGCTGTCCGATCAAGCCCGGACCTTCATATTCTCTTCCGAACACGTCACGATGGTGCAGCAGAAGCACCCTCGCGGAGCTCACGGCGGCAAACAAGCTCGCCCAGTCCTTCACAACCACGGTTGCTTGCACGGCCTGACGAGGGTGGAGGTATCATGAGCCCGTTTTGTTTGCACATGTGAAATGGAACGTAGAAGGCGTTCACGAATGAGGTTGAAAGACACGGGGGCAAGATGTTTTCCGTCTATAGATCAGTTGGACGAGTACGGATATTAGAAGGTACAGAGCGGAGACCGGAACGGTTATTGATGTGAAGACAACACCAACAACAACAGAAACAACAATAACAGTTCAATATTCTGAAGAACGAGCGTTTCGAGTCGACTGCAACCCGTCAAGTGTGACATGATGTCCTTTCGACGGTAGGATCGTCTGGGTGGAATACCCGACGGATTCAGCACATGCTTTCTTTCAACCACCCACCCCGCCCCGCCCTGCAAATAAGAGCGATGGAGCCTTCACGTGTGGTTGTGCATCCTCACAAGGAGATCGAATAGGAGGTCACGCTGTTGCAGAGTCGCGGCATTCAAAGCAAGAAACGGACGAACGCCACAGCCCAAAATCGGCTGGGTATAGCGCAGCCTCCAACACCGAGAACGTGCACCGTAAGCGAGAGTGGAGTTGCTGTCATACCGATCCTACCAGCCTTACAGTCGGAAACGAGGTCATTGACAGCCAGGTGGCGGTACCATCATTCGTTCATGCACATCTCGAGGTCTTTCGATACGTCGACCGATGCCGGCACCTCGCTGCTCTTCAACGCCACCACGTCGAAGATCTCGCCCTGGGGGGCTCCGGCCATCTGCCTCTCTTCCGAGGACACCTGGGCAAACGGACATTGGTCGAGGGGGGCAGAGCATTCGTATTGAGAGGTATGATAGTTGGGTGCAACGAAGGCGAAGGAAAGGCACCGGTTTGGGTGACCAACACCGATCGTGTTGAGCTTTGTCGTGGGTGTGGGAATACGAGGCAGTCATCCAACGCGACACGTATGATATCGCCGTACTGGACTCGATGGCTGAAGCAGTGGGTCCACACGAAGTACCGATAAGCCCCTCAGTCTTGCGGAGTGAGGTCGGCCAATCCACCAAACGACCACTTCTGAGGCCAATCTTGGACAACCAACATCTACCCAAATGACTCTACTACTCTTCAAGTCTGCGGGTTCACTCGCTCGCGGCCCAGCGATGCACACCTTCCTCGTCTTGATCGTCAAAGTTCCGGGTGCAGCTACCACCGTCTCCACCACCGCCATCCTGCTCGCCAACCCTGGTACAAGCCCCCCCTCCTCCGCCTTCTTGGCTGCCACAACCGGGCTATCTGCCCTGTCCGCAGCCTCCGACGACGACACCGGCAGCCTCGCCGATACTGCTCCCGCCCCTGGTACCGTTGCCGTCGAACCGCCGGCGCTGTCGTCCGCTACCTCCTCCATCGCCTGCAGTCTAGAAGCGTCGACTTCCACCACGAGCCCTCCCTTTGCCACAGTCGCCTCGATCACCGGGACCTCGCCAGACGCCTTCTCCAAACCGCCAGATGCCTCGCGCTCCGCCGGCGCGACGCCTCCATAAGACACGTCGGCCTCCGCCGACGCCGTCGCTTCGGGCATCCTCACGGCCATCAAAACCTTGGAGTCCGTGATCGGCTCTCCGAGCATCACCGCAACACCTGCTGCCGGCGGGCCCTCGTCATCGCTTTCCAAGGGCATCTCGGGACACTGGTCGGGCGTTCCCTTTGCCGGGGTCGCCGCCACCGCGTCCTCCCAGCATCGCGCTCCTTCTTCTCCGCTCGCCCCGACGCTCAACACCTTCACATCCCCCTCGTCCTGTTGCTTCTGCTGCTGGCCCCCGCTACAACCTTTGTGGGGCTGCAGCGGGCGGGGCCGCTCGCCTCCCCTTGCTTCCGTCGCCGAAGACATCACCGAAGCAATCTCCTTCGTCCACGGCCCTCCCGCGCCCCGCGCCGTCGTCCCTGTCCACATGCCTGTTGCCTGTTGGTATGTCTGTACTTGGGAGGAGAAGACACGCTTTAACTCTCTCTGATTAAGCACCCGCGGGAGCGAGGAAAGGAAGGGAAGAAGTGGCCCTCCCGAATTCGGGGAAGGGGGCCCACACATAGTAGCCTTTTTCAGGCATACGCATGCTCCTGTCTACGTACCCCCCCGTGCTGCTAGCAGATCTACCATGCTCGTATCCAGACACACGAACACCCTCCCCGGTTCGTCAAGATATTGACAAACCATCAGTGGGGCATGGATACTCCAGATCTACTCAAGTTACTCATACAACAACGGGTGCAAGGGAAAGCTCGGCCATCCGGATCAAAAACCCTCGCCTACAAACTCAAAACATAAAAGAAACCGTCGCTATCACAAAGGATTCCAACGGCCGCACTATCAGGGCAGGACCAAGGCAGGACAGATTGGACAAGCCACGCTGATTACACACCCGAAGAAATTGGTCAAAAACCCTAAGCTCCCGCCGCGGGTGACGCCCCTGCCCAACGCTTCCTGCGTGACATACCATGGTCCGACGCGCCCAGTGCTAGAACAAAACAAAACAAACTCCACGAAAACGAGCCCAGAACCCTACATCGGCAGGTTCATCAGAGCCTTCCGGTGGTACTCCAACTTGCCCCTACCAAGGACCTTGGTCAGCATATCGGCGTGCTGCTCTTCTGTCGAGACATAATCTGCGGTGATCTTGCCCGCCTTGAAGAGCTCGCGGATGAAGTGGAACCGCACGTCGATATGCTTGCTCCTCGCCGAGCTGAAAGGGTTCTGCACCAACGCGAGAGCCCCCTCGTTGTCCTCACGGACCCTGATCGTGGCACCGCTCGTCTCGGGCGCAATGAACGACAGAACACCACGCACGAACAACGCTTCCTTCACGCCCTCCCCGGCTGCAATATACTCTGCCTCCGTGGTCGACTGAGCCGTCACTGGCTGTGTCTTCGTGGATGCGCACACTACGGTCCCACCTACAGTCACGGCTAGCCCCGTCGTCGAACGCCTGTCAACGGTGCTGTCGGCGTAACTAGAATCGACGAACACGTCTAGGTCTAGCCCTGATCCGCGGACGTAGGTGATCCCGAGGTCCTTCGTCTCGTTGAGGTAGGACATGATCCGCACAAGCGCGTTCCACATCCTCTCGGTGGGTGAGTGGGCGATCTTCTGCAGCTTGTTCAAAGGCAGCGCGATGTCCGGCCTCGTGAACAGCAACCACATCAGGCATCCGATCGCTTCCCTCACGGGCTTGTCCACCGAGGACTCGTCGTCTCTCTTCGGCCCTAGGTCATCGTCGACGACAGCGGGCGTGGGAGCAGTGGTCGTGACATTGAAGCGGTTGAGCATGCTCTCGATATAAGCCGTCTGGGACAGCTTGGTGGTACCATTCTCAAGGTCCACCTCAATGGCACACCCATCGTACCAGGTACAATCTCCTAGATCCTAAACAGGGAATCTCTTCTGGAGAGACGCTAGCAACTCTTCACGCTCCTCCTCG